GCCAGGGGCACCACAGGCCTGCCAGGAAGCAGGGGCACCACAGGTCTAGCAAGTATACACGACAGGCCTGTCAGGGGCACAACGGGCCTGTTGGGCCCATGAGCACCCCTAGGGGCAGGGGCACCACAGTCCTTCCAGGGGCACCGCAGGCCTGTGAGGGGCACCAGCGGCCTAGCAGGGGCACCAGTCAACACAGGCCTGCCAGGGGCACCACAGACCTGCCAGGGGCACCAGAGGCCTGCCAGGAGCACCACCGACCTCGCAGGGGTAACTTGGGCCTGTCAGGGCCCAGGGGCACCACGGGCCTGTCGAGAGGCACTTCAGGCTTTTCAGGGGCACCATAGTCCTCTCAGGGCGCAGGGGTAGCAGGGGCACCAGAGGCCTGCCAGGGGCACTACAGGCCTAGCAAGGGCACCACTGGTCTATCAGGGGCACCACGAGACTGTCATAGCCAGGCATCTCAGGCTTGTCAAGGCCCAGGGGCACCACAGGTCTGTGAGGGGCACCAGCGACCTAGCAGGGGCACCAGTCAATACAGGTCTGCCAGGGGCGCCACAGACCTGCCAGGGGCACCAGAGGCCTGCCAGGGGCACCACCGGCCTCGCAGGGGCACCTTGGGCCTGTCAGGGGCACGACGGGCCTGCCGAGGGGCACTTCAGACTTTTCAGGGGCACCAGTCCTCTCCGGGCGCAGGGGCACCAGAGGCCTGCCAGGGGCACCAGCGGCCTAGCAAGGGCACCAGAGGCCTGCCAGGGGCACCAGCGGCCTAGCAAGGGCACCAGAGGCCTGCCAGGGGCACCACAGGCCTAACAAGGGCACCACGGACCTGTCAGGGGCACCTCAGGCTTGTCAGGGCCCAGGGACACCACAGTCCTTCCAAGGGCACCGCAAGCCTGTCAGGGGCACCAGAGGCCTGCCAGGGGCACCACAGGCCTAGCAAGGGCACCTCTGGCCTGTCAGGGGCACCTCAGGCTTGTCAGGGCCCAGGGGCACCACAGTCCTTCCAGGGGCATTACAAGCCTGTCAGGGGCACCAGAGGCCTAGCAAGGGCACCACAGGCCTGCCATGGACACCACAGGCCTGCCAGGGGCACCACCGGCCTTGCAGGGGCGCCTCAGGCCTGTCAGGGGCACCACGTGCCTGCCGGGGACACTTCAGGCTTGTCAGGGGCGTTACAGTCCTGTCAGGGCCCAGGGGCACCAGGCCCGTGGTGTCCCTGCTAGGCCTGTGGTGCCCCTGGCGGTCCTGTGGTGCCCCTGTCAGGACTGTGATACCCCTGATAGGCCGGTGGTGCCCCTGGAAGGTCTGTGGGCCCCCGGGCCTCAAGGGGGGGGGCCATGACCCATGTGACCCCCCCCCCCCTTGGATCCGCCCCTGTAGCTACACGCCGAACCGTTTCAGATAGCCTGCTCAAATTTTCAGTAGCCTCTGGGGCATCCTTATCGCAACTTTTGGTATTTTCTTTTGTCAAGGTCATGTCAGGTCACGGAGTTATGACGTCATAAAGGGAACAACCTCCGGCCAGATTTACGCTAAATTGGAGATTGCTTCACATTGGTATAAATGCCGACTGACCTGACACACTGATGGATTGTTTTAGAATCACAACTGGCTGATTTGACATTGGCACAATGTCCGTTGACATTTGAAGGTTACTTAAGGTCAAGGTAAGGTCAGTGACCTCGGTTGACCTGTAATGACTTCTTGCACTTGTATGCCTTTTCGGGGTATTTTGATGCCCTGAATTGGAATTTGCTATCCATTTCAGGCATCGTCGGTTGTTTCTTGTTGTTCATTTTGGGTCAGGGTCAGGTCAGTGACGTCACCCGCCTGACGTGACCCAATGCACAAATGACCTTGCAGACTTCCGATGCTCCCAACGCATCATTTTTAGAGTTATGACATCGAAATACACACCAAACGATAGAGAATTGATCAAGGAACACGATAGTGAAGGTTTCAAGTCGATATCTCTTACCGTTTTGCCGCAATCGGCGCGGAAATCTGAAAAAAGTTAGATTTTTTCCGAAAATTTGACCTTTGACCGGTCATAAGTAGGTCAAATGTTGACCTAGGACCAAAAACTAAATCACCAATCGCGAGATCTCGTTGAGAGCAATCCGTTGGTCTTTTCCGCTAAGCTCTACGACGCTCCGTTTTCAAACGCCAGAGGGGGTCGCACCAACATGGGCGAAGGTGGCAAAACACCGTTTACGGGCGCGAGGGTAATCTTCGCCGGCAGGGCATTTTTCATAACACGGCCAGGCAGGGGGGGGGGGGGTCGATGCGATCCCCCCTCGCGATTGGCTCCTATGGCACCTAGAAACACCAAATTTGGTAGGTAGGTGGGCCCCTTGGAATTCTCGCCCCTGTGCAAATTTAGTTGCTCTAGGCCAATATTTAGGGGGGGGGGGTTATAAACGTAAAAATTTCACTAAAACAGGTCAAAATTTTTTCGTTTATAACTTTTGATCTAATTAAGATAGAGCAAAACAAAAGCAACAGTGAACTCAGCACGTCAAGGCGCGTCGAATGATACACTTTTTGCTTGCTTAACTGTACTTAAAGAGTTAAGCACATCTTAAGCCTAACTTAAGTCTTGAGAGTGGTCGAAATACTTAATGTTGCATACCATTCCATTCGGCTGTTCAAGAGGAACAGAAAGATACCATTTTGAAAGCTTTATCTGTATTATGTGACAAGTTATTGGCACAAACGTCATTTGACCTCAGGTGGCCTCATTTGACCTGACCCATGGATAAGTACACCAAACAAAGAAGCGCCAAGTGACATAATGTTTCGTGCTGAGGTTTTTCAAAGCACAAAAAATAGAACGAAGCGGATTTCTCCAGTATTTTCCGAATTGAACATTTTCCCATAGGCTTAACATTACGACGTAATGAGTAATGACCTCTAACTGACTTCAGGTCAGTGACATAAAAAACGAACTATATGTTATACAACTCGGTGAACTTAGCACAACCTGCAAGTTTGAAGGAAATCATTACAAAACTGAGTTGGACAGGTGCATAAAGAAAATTGAAATTTGATCATGACCTTGTACCGGTTTTTTCTGACCTGGTGACCTGACCCAAGGTCACCCAGACCTGAAATTTTCATGTCATATTTGAAAAGGCTGCCCTATGGGCTGTGCCAAATTTGGCGGCGCTGCGCATTGCTGTTTTTACGCTATCTTTGAAAAACCTTATGGAGGGTTCATCACCCCCTGCCAGGGCGAGGGTTAGGTAATTACGGAGCGAGCGAAGCGAGCGTAGTCTTTCCTTAGATTAACAGAAATTTCTGAGTATGAGCGGCCGGCCGGCCGGCCGTGCGGACGCTTTTGCGAGGCTTATATCTCAGCAACCACTTGACCGATTTACATGCGGTAAATTTTGTAGGGTAGCTTCATTCCTTCTACCAAGTATTGGACTATTTCCAATGCATGTGGGTGACCCCTTATGCACGTGCCACGTGCAAAACGAAGAGGTGTCAGTTTTGTAATTGTTGCAATATCTCGGTAACTACTTGGCCGATTGCGCTGAAAGTTGGCATGTAGGTAGGCACCCACTAGGCACTGCATATCCATGTGCCAGAGTTGGGGTGCTGCTGCACGTGCGCACGTGCAGGGGTCGTTTCCAGATCTCGAGAACGGCTCGACCGATTGCGCTCAAATTTGGTACACAGTTAGGGACCGGTTAGTAGGATGCTGTGCACAAGTCAGTTGGGACCCATTTTGCACGTGCGCACGTGCAGGGTGCCGCTTCCAGATCTCGAGAACGGCTGGGCCGATTGTGCCCAAATTTGGCACATCGCCAGAGACCGGTTAGTAGGGTGCCGTGCAACTGCACAAGTCAGTTGGAGGTAGCCCCTCGCAATTTCGCACGTGCAAGGCCCACCCTCTCGCTCGCTCCGTTAGTCGCCCCAAAAGGCGTTATACTGGTATTACAAGCCGTGTGGTTCAAGGGGTGTGGTTAAACACGTTGAACCACACGGGTGCTGACGTCACTATCATATAGTTGTGAGCTTTTTGGCAGGTATGGGAAACACCTCCCAACCCTAAGGCCGGGAATTCGTCACCTCGCTTTTTAGCAAAAACACCTCGGGCCTAACGGCCCTTGGAGTTTTCGCTTAAAACGTCGATGACATTTATTGAATCATCCCGGCCCCGGGCAGGAATGTGTTAACGCAAGATACTGTGCGACGCAAGTGCGTAATCACAAAATTGTAACTGAAGCGTTTCCCGCGTCGGCTGATCTCCGCATCAACCGGAACACATCTTACTCTAGCTGGGTCCTGAGGCCAGTTTTACCAACAGAAAAATAGGTAGCCGCCTGCCCGGAATTTTTTGCCTAAAGACCGCTTCACATACGGAGCGTAAACGCGCTGGGCACGCAAGCGGATAGGGCTTTACCATTTACGATCCGTATGTGAAGCGGTTTTTAGGCAAAAAAATCCGGCCCGCGGCTATTTTTCTGTTGGTAAAACTGGTCTCTGATTTACATTTTATGGTTGGAGTAACTAGAGATTATCAATATCCTCAAAAATGTATAGGTTTACTGCCGTATAGTGAAACAAATAATAAAATCGGTTTTTTTTTTTTGTTACGTTAAAACTTCTTGATTTATTAGCGGGTAAGCACAAAGTAGTCCCTTATACGGCAAATTTGACCGCGTTTGACCTCATTTGACCTTGAAGATATTGACCTATGGTCCTATAGTGTCATGAAATTAACACGCAATCCTCCACATTTGGTCGTTTTAGCTACCATGGAAGCTGAGATCTTAGGGGGGCGACATTCGCCCCCCCCCATTGGAGGACTGGGCGTGGTTCTCGGAACCCTTCCACTGCGCGTGTTAATGCCTGCTTTATATTGCTCTAATTAAAAAAGTGTCCTTGCATAGCAATTTGCCCGCCCCTGTGCCTACACAGAAACGTGTCGCCCCTAGTCGCTGGTCCAGTCCGCGCCCGGTGAAGGGCGGGGCGCTGCCGTGGCCGCTTACCGTGCTCTCCCGCGGCTGGCGGCGCAGGCTGGACTGGCCGTTGATGATGACGCCGGCGTTGGTGAACTCCACCGGACAGGCGGGCGGCTCCGGGGGCGGCAGCGGCGCGGGCAGCACGTCATCGTCGCTGGTCTGGCCGTGCTCGAAGCCCGCCAGAAGCACGTACGCCGTGTCGTTAGGCTGGGGACGGCAGGGCAATTGGGCAATGAAAAGTTGGTTTAAATTACACATGTTTTATATTTGTTATAGAGACACATTGTATGTCGATGCAGTTACATTTGGACATCGAGTGCTACAATTGCATAAAAGCCAATTTGGCAAATGCCAACAGTGTCATGCTGTTCAACTTCATAAGTGCCAATCTGAATGCCAATGCAGTACCTATAAGCGACGCATGCTCTCACTGTATGTGTATACAGTTTGTCATAATCCGTTTTAGTAACCAAATTTTGCCTTCAATGATGCTAACACTGTGCGACTGGGGGCAATAGCGGGCTATTGTGGATAACTTTAGCATAGATGGCCAATGGTCATTCAGTCCACAACAGTGCCTACAACATTACTGTGCGCTGTGACGATTGGGTCACTGCTGCTGGTGCTACAGCATGCATATTTATGGTTCTGTAGTAAAAATGGTGGATTACTTGCCTGGCATGGCATCGAGCATACAATGGCAAATGTCACCGCACCACTACAGCCTGGAATTGTTGGGCGGATCCTGTCTGATCTCTGCGCTCAACAAACGAAGCACTGCAATGTCCAGACATGACTACTCAGCCATACAAGAGCATAAGATTGTAGCAGGTCGAGCTAATCTTACAAGCAGCAGGCGTAAAAAGAAAGGCTTGAGAATGCCACTTTCATACATGGGGCGTCTTCGGATGGTAGGTGAACCGCCACTAAAATGTTATTCCCAAAGCTTGCCATCCCAAATAAATAGCTCGGGGCATCTGGCATATTGTCTGTGCGACCACCCGATATCCGTCGCCAGTCTCCCAGTTTTATCAGTCATGACTGGTCCTCCGTCCAATGCTGTAATGTGTTACTCCCGTATAGCCAATTGCTGTAATGTGTTTGTCTTGTCCCCACTCCCACCAATGCTGTAATGTGTTAGTCCACAGGCCTCCACATACCTCCAGTTGTATGTAGAGGTCTATGGTTAGTCCCGTCCCAACCACCAATGGCTGTAATGTCTTTGCCCGGCCCGACCCATGCTATACTGTGCGTTTGTTCAGCCCGGCGCGGTCGTGTCGCCGTCAGGGTTGTGCCGTCCCCCGTCACGGCGGCACGGTCAGGCCGCTGATAACAGCGCACTGCAATTGCCGCCCGGGTTTCACCGGGACCATCTGCCGTGCCGCGTGACTGGCGGGGGGGGGTGACGGCGGGTCACATCGGCTTGACCCGGCCACTCGATGTCCGATTTCGCCGAACGCGGTGCTGTCAGAAAGGTGCTATGAGATTATGAGATATTCAATTGGGCACCACACTGCAGGTTTCAGCCGTAAGCCGTATTTACTTCCCATATCCATTGGCCAGAGGATGTCCTTGGGAACGAGCGTCTGGCAGGCGGAGAATAGTGGACGATTTCCAAATCGTACGGAGCGTTTGTTTCCCAAGTTGATGGCTGATTTAGACCACGATTCGGTGGTATACAACTGCGTAAGAACAATGCCCAATGCCCATATGCAGCACGATGTATTTCGCAATCAGTCGATTTAGATGTCAGCCCATGGTGACGGCATCCCTTTCTCTCTGAAAGGCTTCAGCCAGCTGTGAGCTGTCCTGGGAAGCCGTTCATTGTCGGCTGCCCGGGCCGAGACGGGTCAGTGGCTCTCCTGGCCAACTGTCTGCAGTCACTGATGTCTCAGTCGAAACAGTGACCACCAGACGAGTGGGGAGCCGTGAGTGACCGGTCAGGGTGACGAGAATATTTTCAACGCGGGCACACTTTTCACCGCGTGCTCTTTGTATTAAAAACTACAGACATGAGGCTCGCTCCAATGCTGGTTGCCATTAGATTGGTAGGTATGTACCATTGGGTACATGTAGTTCATAGTGTATGGGATAATATAAAGAACAAAAGAGACCAAGTACTGCGGTGACTTTTGAGGACCTTTGATACATCATATCAAACGACTTGAAACGATGTACCCATCTGCGGATAGCCATCCCAAAAACGTGTCATGTTTAGAAGTCTGGCTTGAAGCTATAAATCGTCTCCTGAAAGCCATCGGTCGTTTGTCAGTGTCACTACTGATAAGTGTCGATCGGGAGTCATTTCGACTTGTCAGATGATGAGTCAAGTGGCGGTCATTTGCAGCTCACTCTGGTTTAGCAAAATAATTTCTTCTGCGAGTTGCTAAGAGCACTAACCACTTGCCGGTCACGTGCCGTCACCGACGACTGATCACAGAAAGTCGGTAGGGTGAGTCGTCCGGCCGATGCTGCGGGTCTCTCGCGTCTCTGGTGCTCGGAGCCGCACTGCCGATCGTCACCTGTCACCGTTTTATTGCCGTCACGATAAGTGTCGGAAAGTGACATGGCGAACTGGCCCGTGACGATCTGGTCCGTGATGATCTGACTCGTCACGGTGGCAGTCACGGTGGACGGCGCGGGAAAGTCGATGGCAGAGACGGCGCACGCTGACGCAAGTCAGCACGTACAGTCTGTCTTGAAAGTACCGCAGCATGGCAGGGTGGCGCTGGTGGGTCGGCGCAGCGGAGGGCGGTCAGGTTTGAGGGCCACTGGATCGCCTGACCCTGGGGGGGGGGAGGAGGGAGGAGAGGGATGGGCGCGAGTGAGCGGGCTCTCGGTGCTGCCAGGGCGGCAGACAAGGCGCTGCTTTATGAATACTTATACAGAGACACCAGCTAAGCGTAGTAATTCTTTTCCTGGCATGAAAGTTTTGATAAATGAAAATTGATGCTTCCCTTTCGAGCCTCGCCAGACATTTACGTGTTACACATGTAATCCGGCCAGAGGGTAGCGGGTGCGGCCTCCGTCGTTTGGCTCAGATTAAGCAAAAAATTGTGTGCGTGGTTACGAGACACAGTGACTGGTAATTACTTTTAACCAGGGATGCGGAGCCGTGGAAATTTCAGACGGCTCCGGCTCCGGCTCCGGCTCCTGAGAAAAAAATCGGCTCCGGCTCCGGCTCCGGCTCCGGGTGAAATGTTATGGCGGCTCCGGCTCCGGCTCCGGCTCCGAGTAAAATGGTCCGGCTCCGGCGGCTCCGGCTCCGGCTCCGGCGGCTCCGGCTCCGACTCAGTACATCCCCTACGCAATCAATTAAATACGGGTGGAAGAAAAATTGGATTGGTTATACGCGTTACTCTTTGCCATGACCGGCTCACCGCGTCCCCGCGCAAACGCACCTCGGAGAGAACTGGCAGAACAAAGGGCTAGGAAGCGATGGCATTGGAAACGCAGTCGCCGCGAATCGGAGTTCAGTGAACCATCGTAAGCTGACACCCGTCTCGGCTGCATTGGGGGGTGAGGGGTGGGGGGTGTGTGGGATGAGACGGTGCTGGGAGTCGCAGTCCACTGCACTGGTTTGAAAACAATGGCCGTCACCTGATGACTGGTCCTCATGTTCTGGGGATGCAGTAGACGTGGGGGGGGGGGGAGAGCAAACAGGAAGTTGTTTGCGTACTGTGGGATACTGGGGATATTCGGATTTTTTCATTCACTTGATGGCCCATGACGTAAGTACCATATGTTTTGCCTTGTACTGTCAAACCGAACTAGGTCAATTATTTTTTTTCCTCTTCAAAAAATAAAAAGGAGCCGGAGTCTCCCCTTTTTTGGCGGCTCCGGCTCCGGCTCCGGCTCCGGGCTATATTGTTTCACGGCTCCGGCTCCGGCTCCGGCTCCGGGCAAAATATGCCGGCTCCGGCGGCTCCGGCTCCGACTCCGGCTCCGGCTCCGCATCCCTGCTTTTAACATTCCCAGTATTGGCCGCTTTATAGCGTCTACTGATGGAAATGGTCCGTAGGAACCCGCCTTACAGCCGTTCGGCTCCTGATCGGCCATTTAAAATGATCAGGTCGGCCCTGATCATTTCACCTGCTGGGACCTGATATTTCCAATCACAAAATGCCTGGAAACGCGTGGATAATATGCGCTGACATGCATGGAATCGGCATCTTGGCCTGACATAGTATCGAGAAAGAGGTTACAGGTCAAAGGCCATTGGGTTCAGGGTCATAATTTTAGGGAAGATATAACATTGATCAATTCGAAGATATTGAAAGTTTTGTCGTGGTCGGTCGGTCGGTCGCTTTTTACGCGAGTTATTCGTGAAAAAGCCGTGAGGTACGCATCGGTTTGAACTCCTCCTGTAAGTGTGAAGGTTAAGATCTCGGGTCGATCGCTGATCTCTCGAGCATTATTCAGTGCCGGCGAGCATTATAACTTTTCCTGAGGCTAGGACACTATAACGTAACCTAAGTGACCCGACCTTGAAAGATCTGGGTCTGATTCATTCCGCCATCACAACTGTTAAGAAAAGATTTAAAATCACTTATCAGGTATGGGTGGAGGGATGTCGCAGCCCCGCCCCCCTCCAACGCAGCAGTGTGCAGAGAGCCTGCTTTGTTAAGTAATAAATCTAGCCAGCTACTTTGAAGCCGAAAATATAAAGAAAAGGGGTTCTGAGTCGCGACGGCGCTGTTCCGACTGCAACTCTAAATCTGACGTCGGCCTGCTGATCGGCTCCGACTCCGACTCTGACTCCGGACCAGTGCACTGCCATAAGATAAACGTATCACTTGCCGGTACGGGGATGGACGCAACTCTCCCGACTCTCGGACTGCTTTGGTAGCTAGACTCTGCAACATTCGTTGGAGTCTGCTAAAATTTTCAGCATCTTATGGAGGGGCAGGGAGAGAGAGAGAGAGAGAGAGAGAGAGAGAGAGAGAGAGAGAGAGAGAGAGAGAGAGAGAGAGAGGAGAGAGAGAGAGAGAGAGAGAGAGAGGAGAGAGAGAGAGAGGAGAGAGAGAGAGAGAGAGAGAGAGAGAGAGAGAGAGAGAGAGAGAGAGAGAGAGAGAGAGAGAGAGAGAGAGAGAGAGAGACAGAGAGACAGAGAGACAGAGAGACAGGGAGACAGGGAGACAGGGAGACGGAGAGAGAGGGAGGGAGACGGAGAGAGAGGGAGGGAGAGAGACAGAGAGGGAGGGAGA